GTTGTTTGTTCTCAAGACATTATTGCTTCAAATAGAGAGAGTGCTGTTTTGTGTGCTCTCACTCGCCATCCTGCATACCATCCTGATGTTAGTTCAGAATCAGCTACAACCTCCACTCGAGGTTATACAGATGGCAACAGATCAGGCAGTGATACAATTCAGAGATCCGATGATGTAACAGTAGACAGTACCATTGCTGGTAAAAGGCATATCAAGTTTCCAGTTTCTATGGAAAACGATCAAAAGACTGATGATAGTTCTGTTTCCCAACACTTTGTCTCGCAAAAACCCGTTGATCGGGTGTCTTTTTCTGGGAAAAAAGTACCTCATAGACCTGGTGTTGCATTGAGGATTCTTTCTGAGGATGCTGAAAAGCGGTCTAGATACAGAAAGGTAAAACTTCTGTTCCATGTGGTTGACTTTCTTGTTGGCTTTAGTGTTGTAATTTCCAACATTAGCATTTAAAAGTTGTTTTGAGACTGAGATGTTGACTTGTAGTGAAAATTTACAGCATCCTGAAACTTTTGAAAAGGAGCTAGTGATGACGTCAGATCAAGCATCTATGAAGAATCAGCTGTTGCCTAAAGGATTTGTTTATGTTCCTATTCGATGTCTTTCAAAAGAGAAAGAGACACTTCCAGATGCATGTGCTCAAGAACCATTGGAACATGATGGTTAGGACAATATAATGAAAATTTTGAATACCCTGATTTAGCCACATCCATCTTGGATGTAGTCTTTTGCAAGCTGATTTTACCAGAAGGATGATGGCTTATTAGATGCCCTGATGAGGCCGAAGTGGGTACATTATTGCTGCCAGTCGGTCCTGCTACTGCCCAGACGGGGATGGTGGGTTCTTCCCATCCCTTGTGTCAAGTGCTTAAATTGGTTGGGTTGTTTGTGTGTTTCTTGGCAGAAGGGATTGAAGAAGCTGGAGCTTGTAATTGTTTGTAATGCCTACTCATGGGCTTTGTAAAGTTTGTGTACATATTCTTACCATGTAAACAGTCAAAGCAATGGTGCAACCTCAAGTTGATTAGTGGATTAATTTATTTGTCAAGATGATGGTGTCACACATTTTATTGTTTTTAACTGCAGGTCCACTATCCTTTTAAGAAGAGGCTTAGTCCTTGTGATTGTTCTTGATGGTTGACATCCTGCTTTACATTTATCTTGGATTTTAGGCTGTGGTAGCTTTAATGGCTGGCATTTAAGTGGGGCTCAGTTTATTTATTTATTTATTTATTTTTTAGATCTCTCTCTCTCTCTCTCTCGCAATAAGATGGGATCTTCATGGAATCTCATTTAAGTTGTTTGAATGCTGACCGTCAAGTGTAAGAGATTTCAGAGATTTCAAAGCTTTTCTCTTTTCGTAGTGAAAGTGACACGTGTGAGGACGGAACCATCAGTTGCACCTGATCCTGAAGGAGAAATACAAGGATGGGAAATGTAAGTTTTCTTTTTTATGTCAAGTTGTAATGGTCGTCAATTCTTATTTCATTGCTTTTGGATTTTATCTTTTAGTCAGATGGTGGATAAAATTCTAGAACTGTTAATTTTGGTTTGTAGAAATTAGAAGATGAAATTTGTTTTTATGTGCACTTTCAATTTGGTCACATTTTTAAGCGTAAATTGGACTCTGAAGGGAATCTCTCCAAGGCCTTTCAATTTGTTGTAATTTTTGAACCCTGGCCCTTCCAAGTGGAAAAGCCTGTCTCTCTATTTTTTATGGTCTTATTTCTGTGTTTCATGGTACTGGTTGATTTGTTTTTAACTCGTACCTGTGTTTGGAGCACATGGTCAAAATGATGTTATGGATGTGCTTAGCATGCAGTTGTGCTTTCATTTCGCTCCATCTTGCTATGCTGGTGTTTGCACAAGTAGCTTAATGTATGAAGCGATTGGTTTAATTGGCACCATCATGTGTAATCCTTCTTGATTTGGAGATTGTAGATTTTGGTAACACTTTGAAAATTGTTATTTCCATGGTCAAGTTAATTTCATATTCTCTACTGGTTCAGTGTTTGGTTGCTTAACTATCTTCTTAGTCACAGGGAAGTACTGAATGATGGGATATGTCTTCCAGCTATTTAAGAACTCGAATGGGAGGGGCCTGTTTAGAAAGGTCTACTTGTCAAATCTGCAAGAACTGGAACTCCTGAAATGTCCAGATGTACGAGGTTAACTCAAGTTGCAGCTGATGCAGGATTCTCCGTTCTTTGGTAGTTTAGTAGTAAAACATGCAATTTACGCTGCTTTTAAAGTTCCCATAGAATTAATTTTAAGGGTTGAGCAAGTGAACTTGGGTAGTGGTATGTTTTTCTCAATTCCCTAATATTGGATCCAGGTATGCATTACCATCGTTTAATGATGTAATTTCATTGGTTGCTCAAAACTTTATTCCTTCGAGCTTCCCTGTGCAACCAATGTGAGTATGATCTGCCCTCGAATGATTATTGTGATCCGTCCTATCTTTTCTTGGATATAGGGGTTAATGAATACCCAGATGACAAGGGGGGCGGAGTGCAGCTGGCACACAGCCCGTGGTATTTTATGGTTTAAGGGTAGACTTGGGGTTCTTGGCCTTGAAAAGCAAATAGAATCAGCATTAATAAAAACTCATGCAGATGATGATGTATATCATTTTTCTTAGACAAACAAAGTGGATGGCTTCTGTGGAAAGGAAAAATAACATCCTTGAAATTTGATTTCTATGCTTGCTTGAAAAAGAACATTCAGTGAAATTGTTACAATTATCATTAGCTGATAGAGGCATTAGGCAGTTAAATGTAAGATCCTTGGTTCGACTATTAATAAAAAAAAAAGACGACAGAAATTTAATTCAATTTTGGCCAGAAACCTTTTCCTCGTGTTTCCATGACGTGTATCTTTTTTTGGGTTAAAATTAAAATTTGAATTTTATGAAAGCAGTGTTTCACTTCTGGGATTGAACCTTCTCCTCAGCATTTAACTTCACTGAATGACACGGATATATTTGTTCTTAATCCCATATGCGCTTCTGGCCTCTCAAGACAAGCTTTATTAACCATCCCCCCCCCCCCCCCACTCCCTGCAAGACCCACCACCACCCACCCTTCCCCTATCCCCTTTTGTTCCTTGTACTTGACAAAAAGTTAATTGAAGCTAAAATTGCTCCTTTTATTCGAGCTTTTTATCTTATTGAATGGCGTGTAGTTTCTTGTAGTTATGATTGTTAAAATGAAATGAATATGGAAAATAGGGGAACCCTTTGTTCATGTGGATGTTTCTAAATTAATGTGGGATTCCTGAATTTGGAAAGAATCCTGAGTTCTCCAATAATGTAAATGAGCTAGAGGAGAACTTGTATTGTGCTCTCTTTTGTGCCGATTAACACTCGTGCTTTCACTTGTGAGGCCAATTAAGCATTTTTGGGTATGTAACTGGTGTTCAGGGAAAGTTAGTTTTGAGTGGGGGAAACAATTGAATGGTGCGTAGTTTCTTGTGGTTATGAATGTTAAAATGAAATGAATATGGAAATTAGGGAAACCATTTGTTCATGTAGATGTTTCTTAATTCATGTGGGATTTCTGAATCTGGAAAGGGTCCAAACTTCAACAATGTAAATGAGCTAGCGGAGAACTTGTATTGTGCTTCCTTTTGTGCCGATTGACACTCGTGCTTTCACTTTTGAGGCCGGTTAAGTATTCTTTTGGTATGTAACCGGTGTTCAAGGAAAGTTAATTTTGAGTAGGGGAAAAATATTGTTCTGTAATTGTATGCCGTTTAATTCGTGTACTATTAACTGAAGAGCAGTAAAGAGTGTTTTGCATATGGATCATTTAATAGCTACAAACAACATGCTAAGAGCTTAACGTCCATGTTTATTAGTCGCTTAGTAATTCTAATTAACAAAAGCAGATTTTAACAAGATAATTGGCTAGTGATATTGTCAGCGCATTTATTTTCCAACCATAGCAATTTTTATCAAAATGTCAAAATTACCATTAAGAAGTCAAACACTAAAATTCGACCGAAACCTATCCTGAAATTATGATTTTTCTAATCTCTTTTTAATAACTTAGGAGAGCATTCAAACTTTAAAAGTTCAGCGGTGAACAAAATTTTATTACTCAAAACCAAATATGTATGAACTCTTTCTACTTTTTCCTATAATATTTTATTGTAGAAAGGATTATCAAGCATTGAATCAGATTAAAATCATAGACAAATTAAGGCCAAGAACCATGTGCTGTGTCCCTCTCAATATTTCCTCAATCTCCACAGATCCAAATTCACCATCATAAAATACCCAGAAAGATAAAACATCACTATCTTCACACACACACACACATATATATTCAATGTCGTTTTTCTCCAGCCACCAACAATCAGGATCTTCCAATGCCAAATGATGCACCAGTCCTTTGATCTAGCGTGCTGCCATTATTTCTGCCCTCTTATCAGTGGCCGTGATAATCATCAATATCAGTGTATTCATTGGCTACATCGCTATCCGACCTATGGTCTCAAATGACTGTTACGAGCGCTCGACTGATTCAACTATTAAGATCAAGCCGAAATTCAATTCCATTTCATGATAACCTCCATAAGTCCTCTCCAAACCAACATTGATTACGCGAAATATTTTTGTTAAAAATCAAATCTGAATGACGACGTGATAAATAAAATCTGAAATACCCAAAATCTTTTTAGACCTATAAATGTATACAAAGAGAGTTTCATTAAAGACCATTTCCATATCGACATTGTGGATTCAGTTCTAAGAAACTGGCTAAGAGTTGCACCATATTTGATCAGAAAATTCCCAAAGATCTGTAAGAAGAATCTGGTTAAAAATATCGAAATGGAACGAACCCCTCAGAAGATTCTTTCTGCATCCACCATGGCTTTAGAACCTTGTGTTTTTGAGGGCTAGAATATGGAATCTCCACAATTGGATAAAGATGCTGACATTGAGACACTTAAGAATAAGGTTAAACAATTAAGGAAGCAGTTACACAAGTCCAAGAGAGGTGAATGCCAGCTGACATACAACTATAGGTGGCAAATCAACCCATTTAATTAAATTTATTCATACCCCTCCATGAATAGATGGGTATGGGTATCTTAAGTTTTTGCATATGGGTATAAATGAGTTACCCAATAATACCTATTTATTAAATAGGTATTATTGGGTAACCCATCAAACCCAATTTACCCATACTCGCCCATGAATAGATGGGTATGGGTATCTTAAGTTTTTGCATATCTCTTCTCTTCCCCCGCCCTTTTTTTTCATATTTTTCATTTTTTTATGATGTTAGCTACTTTTGTTTCATTATTATTATTATTTGTTGGTTTTATTTTCTCTTAATTTGTTAACTTACTCATTTTTTAGCATTATCAATTTATGATAAGTTTAGCCTCTTTTCCTACCTTACCAGAATGAAAATTTCAATTTATACATGAAAAATATATTAGGGAATCAAAATTTTTGGATTAAGTTTATATGTTAATTTTTATAGTACTTAATTTAAATTTTTATATTCTTATTATTTAATTATTAAATAGTATGTAATTTTACGACATAGAGTACGGATAGAAAAAAAATTGATAATTAGGCTTATTGAACATTATAAGTAAATATTTAAAACTAATGATGGGTGCAAAGTGTGATATAAATTGATAATTTAGTTTGCAAAAATGAATTTAAATGAGTTTATAAAAAGTTAAAATAAATGAATTATAAATGGGTAATTAGGTTACCCAATTCATTTTTTGACTTATCCATTTATACTCATTTAATTAAATAGATTAATTCACTTATATCCATTACCCATTTTACCCAACTCAAACCTGGTCAAGTCACTCATTTTGACACCTCTACATACAACTGAGGAGGTCTAAATCTCGGTAGTGCAAGCTTTGGGGCTAGAGGTGCAAGAAGGCAAGCATACAGAGGGGACAGAGAGTTTCACCATGACTTTGAAAGATCTACTGGGTTGTCTTGGGCGGATGAGGTGGAGCTTGAGGATAACCAACACCATCAGGGAACTACATCAAAACAGATATCTTTGACACTGAATACCTTGCTTGCTATGGCATCTGATGCAGATGAAGCAGCTAAGGCTTGTGACAATCCACTAAGTCGGGACAAAGGTAACGGTAAAATTGTGGAGCAGGGTGCCCACCAAGTGTTTGATAACCAAGTGTTTGATGGTTATCCAACAACTGGAAAATCAACACGATAGTCAACTAATCAGCTTGAAAAAGTAGATTTCTCTTAGGCTAAGACTTCTACTCTTGGAACGAATATTAGACAGTGGGCAAACTTATTCAAGTTTGGACCAAATATGCTAAAAGAGAAAATGGAGCTGCAATATTTTCAACTGGAATGTAACGAAGGAGAGGTCCAAGTAAACCCTCTAAACACCATCTTTGAAGAGGTTGATGCACGCTGGAAGGAATGCTTAGTGGGATACTTTATTGATGAAACTCTCCCCTATAGGGTTGTCAATTCTATTTCCCATAGGATTTGGGATAAATTGGGTCTTATAGAGGTGTTAGCCATTGGAAATGGGTTCTTCTTATTCAGGTTTGAAAGTAAAGAAAAATGTATGCAGGTGATGGAGATGGGACCTTAGTTTTTTGCTGCAAGACCATTGATTCTTCAAAAATGGCACTCCAAACTGAAATTGACAAAGGAGAAACATGAAAAGATTCCTGTTTGGGTAAAATTCTATAACATACCAATGCAAATGTGGTTTGCTCAAGGTTTTAGTTATGTTGCCAGTGCAATAGGTAGGCCATTGCATTTTGATTCCATTACTGAAAACTTCAAGAGGGCTTGCCTTTGCTCAGATCTACGTGGAAATAGATGCAGAACCTTTGGTGGGCTCTTTTGATCTTAAAATTAATGAAGTCAATTTGTTAAGATCCGAGCTGAATATCAGCGGAAGCCTATGCAATGCAACTCCTGCAAAACTTTTGGTCACTCCTTTCCCCAATGTAGAGACTTCTAGGATCAACAGAAACAAACCCCTATTTTGATGAGTTCACATTCTAAGGATATGGAAAAGACTCAAAATTCAAGTGCAACTTCAGCCGATGCTATGTTGTCTGAAATAGAATTGGTTGTCCATAAAATTGTTGATGGGACTGCGATGTCTTTTTATACCAAAGTTCCTAAAGTAGAGTTGGATGAACATGACATAGCTGTTGAACCGCAACAAAATCAACCCAAGGATTCTTCATATGATAATTCCATTATGGAGCTAAATGCTGTTGATGTGGAAGTTATCGAGGAACTTGAAATGTTTTGTGCTGATTCGGATGAGATCATAGCTAACTTCAAGAAGAGAAATGCAAAGAAGAAGAAGAAGAAAAATAAGCATTCGCCAGAAGATGGTGCAAGGGACATCCCCTGCCAAGGGTAATCAATATTAAACCTTATCCCAACTTTTTGTCTATGTATATTGGATGCTAGAATGTTAGAGGATTGAATAAATCTATCAAACAAAAGAAAGTTAGGCCTTTTTTTGGAAGATAATAATATTAGGTTAGGAGCCTTTTTGGAAATAAAAGTGAAAGTTGTGAATAAAGATAAGATCTCAATGGCAATTGCTCCCTCTTGAAGGTATCTTTATAACTACAGTTGGTCTTCTCCTGGTAAAATTTGGGTGTATTGGGACCCAAACTTTTTGAATGTCTTTTGTATTGGCTCCTTGGACCAAGTCATGCATTGTAAGATAAACTCAATGAATAATGACTTTAGCTACATTATATCTTTTGTCTATGGAGACAATGACTCACAAACAAGAAAGAGCTTTGGAAGGACATAGTAGGCTTTGCTAGACTGATGCACTCTACTCCATGGATAATAGTAGGAGATTTCAATGCTATCAGGTTTGGATATGAAAGATGCAGGGGTTCCATTGATTGGCCACAGTACATGAATGATTTTAATAACTATTGTATTGAAACTAATTTAGAGGATTTGAACTACACAGGGATGTAGTTTACATGGTGTAATAACTGGCAAGATGAGAATATTATTTATAAGAAAATTGAAAGAGTATCAGCTAATGAGAGCTCGTGCAGGCATTTTCCCTTCTCTAAAGCTTGTTTTTCACTTAATCATGCTAAAATCCTTGTGAAAATCCTTCCAAAATGCCAAGAGTCAAGAAGCCCTTTAAATTCTTTAATTTTTGGATTGAAAATGAGAAGCTTATGTTTTTAGTATCAAGAACATGGAATATTGATGTTCAAGGTACTCCCGTGTTTTGTATCTATCAGAAATTGAAAATGATGAAGTAGGAGTTGAAGAAGTTCAACAAAAAGGAATATGGTGACTTATCTAACAAAGTGTTGGAGGCAAAAAATGAACTAGAGGCCATTCAAAGTTAGATTGATAACCATCTCAGGGACAAATAATTGCTTTCCAAAGAAAAATTGTTGGTAAAGAAGTATAGAGAACTTCATGGTAAAAATCTCGAAGTATAAAGAAGTTACTTATATGGTAACTTCTATAAGAAAAAATCTCGAGCTTCATGGCTGAATCTTGGAGATTAGAATACAAGTTTCATCTTCAAAAGGGTTAACCAAAGAAATCAATGTAATAGAATAATATCAATTGCTAGGAAAGATGGGACACGAGTAGAAGATTATGATGAGTTGGAAAGGGAAGTTATATTCTACTTTCAGTAATTGCTCGATCCACCACAGATGCATATTGATGAAGCTCCTGTTGATTTGTCTCTTTTTGTTGCTAAAGTCCTCAACCAAGGCCAACAGAGCTACTTGATGCGGGAGGTTACTGCTGAAGAAATTCAGTATAGCTTGTTCTCTATTGCTTATGGAAAGGCTCTTGAGCCTTATGGTTTCAATGGTAAGTTTTTCAATCATGCTTGGCGTATTATTGGGGAAGAGGTAACAAAAGCTATTATCTCTTTCTTTAGGGATGGTAAACTCCTAAAGGAAATTAACTTTACTATCATAACTTTGGTTCCTAAGGTCCAGAACCCTTTCTTTTTATTTGATTATAGGTCGATCTCTTGTTGTAACACTTTGTATAAGTGTATTACAAAGATTATTGCAAATAGAATCAAAGAGGCTTTGCCTTAGTTGATCAGTCTCTCACAATCTGCTTTTGTTCTTGGGAGGAAAATTGTTGACAATGTATTGCTTGCATAAGAACTATTGAGAAACTACCACAGCGATGCAGCTAGTCCATTGTGTACAATTAAAGTTGATTTGCATAAAGCATATGACACTGTAAAATGAAGTTCCTAGTTCCAAATCCTAGAGGTGAGTGGTTAAGAATGAAGTTCCAAATCAAGAAGGTTAAGAAGATGGATACTAATAGATGGCTATAAAGGGTTTGGTTATTACCAGAGAACATTTTCTCAAGTTGAAATTTTAGTGGTAGCTGTGCTACTTCTTTTGTATTCAGTGCACAAAGTGTCTCAGACTACCGTGAGATTAAGCATCATATGTAAGTAGTGTAAGTTAGAATTGTTGATTTGAAACATATCTTGTATGTTAGTTTGGTTCTTAGGTACTAATAAATTCTTACTTACCCAAAAATGAATGTATACAACTCATACATATATTTTTAAAAATCCGAACAGAAGAAGATGATAGATATAAGGAGATGAAAAATAGAGAAAAAGAAGAGGAAGTGGTTATAAAGGGAGAAAGCAAACAAATAGAAACCGTAAACTGCAATTATGGAGTCCGCTAGAGAACCAGAGATGAGAAGAAATTGGCAAGGTAGAGTGATTAACTACTTACTACTTAATAGGGCACCATGACAATTAATGGACTTACTAGTTGATGTGCCCCTGCGCTTTGCGCGAGGTTGCGCAGACAATGTTTCTGCAATGGGGTTAGTTTGTTAGTTTTGCTGGAACTCATGAATAACTTGTATTTACATTGCAGAAGATACTGCATTGGCAAAAATAGTATTTACATGCCTAGCCTTGACAAAAGTACTGTATCTATGGCCAGGATAGTGTTGATAAAAAATTCTATCTATATTGTGGTTATATATATATATATATATATATATATAACCATTACTTGGACAAAAGATTCTATCTACATTGTGGTAGAACTTTATGCTTCCACATTTACTTAGTTTTTGCTTGTTTTGCGGAGGTGTTGTTGGTTGGTGATGTCTTTCTCTTTGGGCTTTGATTGATTGGCTGTGTTCCTTCTATGGTTGGCAAGCTTGGCTCATATGAACTAAAGGCAGAAAAAGTAGTTGCATCAGATGTGTCTCTGGATTGAGTTGGATTTTTTACATGTTGAAGAGGATGGTTTGTCTTGAAGTTGTTGAGCTTCTTCGTACTACATAGTTCGTGCTTTAGATGATGATCCTTCCTCTTCAAGTGATGTCTCGGTAACCGGAAAGCACGCAATTATAGTATACTTTGCAGCTGGTGTTTCCCAGTGGATGAGTGAATTCCTCACTTGAAGGCAAAAGATGTGATCTGCTAGTCTTCCGTTCATACTTGCAATATCTAGTTTTTCATTTTGCTATAATATATCTTTGTATTAGTGAGTTTTATTCATTCCATTAGCGAAACAACTATGGATATTGTTGTATATAAGCATAGTCTTGCTTTTTGCTCCTTGAGCATTATGTCATTTGTATTGATTTATAAAATATGTTGAGCATTTTGATCTTCAATTATTGCAGTGAAGATGCCAGATATGTCAGACACATGAACCAGGAATCTTAACCCGTATTGTCAATGGTGTACAATTTGGTTATGTATTTATATTAGATATTTGATATTATAATCATTAGATGATAATAGGTAGTTATCTGGGTTGTGGTCTTAGAAATGTTATGTTATAGTGGCGATAGGTGAACTAGAAGTTTGCAAGTGCACCAGTTAATTTTCTGTAGTTTTGTGTTGGGCAAGTGAGACAGTATAGGTACCGCTGCAAATATATTATTCTCAGAGTTGCTCAGATCCATACAGGCTTTGGCTATTAATTGAATAGAAGTTGTGTAATTTTCCTGTTCATTAGAAGTATTTGTCAATATAAAGTTGATAATAGAATGTGCACAGAACTTTTTGTGTACCAGATATGGGGTGTTGGGGATCTCATTGACTTGGCGAATCTTTTCTTCTAGAGGAGGCTTGATTGTCTAGTGAAATTCGTCATAGAGAGTTCCAGGCATTACTCCTTGAATATATGTCATATTTGCATGTATCCTGTGATATAGAAAATGAAAAATATGATTATACAATTGCAAATAAATGGATCATTTTGAATATTGCATTTTTTATGGAATGAGTTAAAGGGAAAGAGAAAATATGATGTACCAATCTTTCAATAGCATTGCTTGTGGAATTTTTGGATTAAGGATGATAGAAGTTTTTGCCTAAGTCTCTAGAGACATGATTGTAATATGAAATATTTGCAAAATTAAGTTTTGAATTTTGGTCAAAGTAAAAGTAGGTCTATAATTGCTAATATCTGGTAGTTACCACGATATGAGCTAACTTTGCCTCTAACATTGATGGGGATTGGATTGTTGTTCAAAATGCTCAGTAGATATGGAGCTTCTACGTCCAGAAATTCTTGCCACATGGTGAAGATCATTGGTTTTTGCTTGTGTAAGACATGTAGGACATAGTTATGTCATTATAAGTTAGTGTAACTGGTTCCTTGGTGTTGCCTAAGTTGGATACTTACTCTTCATGTAAGACAACAAATTCTTGAATTGATGTATTTCCTATTCATTGCGATATAATTCGATGAGGGAGAGCCCCAACTGCTATGCATAGTATAGCTGTAAAAGTTGTAGTTAGTCTCAGTAAATAATAAGATATTAATAATGTATTATATTTGATAGTAAAGATTGGAAAGTACTTATTGAATCTCTTTCATTGTTGATATACTTATAAAAATCTGCAAATGGAGTCAAAGAGTAGCACTCATCAACTGCGTATCGATCTTGCTGGTTGACAGGCTGGATAAAAGTGTTTCTACGCAGAGTTAATTGGTACTTTGACGTAGCAACTTTGTAGTTACCATTTGTTATCTCTTCAACCTCTGCATTTGCTATATAGTATGTATCATAAAGATGCAAGATTTCATTGATTGCTTCTATTTCTTTTGTGTAAGCAATCGCTTGAATTGTATTTTTCGACAATATTGGAATAATTTAATGTTTCCTATTAGCATAGATAAATTAAATTATAAAGGGTTGATGAATGAATTTATTTTAGAACTATAATTACCTCACTGTCCATGAAGGCATATCGTTGGAATGTTATGTAGTCATCTTTGCTTCTCCGGATTGGTGTTTTTTTCTATAAATATTAACTTTGTAACCCGTCTGTTGTTGTGGAGATTATTTGACTGAAGGAATGCAAAGGCTTTCAATTTCATTGCAATGGGGAAAAAAGAAAGTTATAAAGTATGTGTAACTATTTATTGGGGTAAATATTGAAGCTGAATATGTGGCCAACAAATCACCGAATAGGAAGATAAATAAAACTCAGTACCTAAACCAAGCAAAGTTTTATGTTCACTATTTCGCATATTATTGTAATTGAACATCTTAATAGGTGTATAAAACCACAAGAGACAACAAAATTCTTAGCTGAACAACTATAAAGGTAGATGATGTACAATTAATAATCAAATTCTATGTCTAACATATATAAGAGAATAGAATACATAAACAACTATTTACTTGCAAAAATATGAAAGCAAATAATATAGTATTGCTAATACTAGTGTGCGTCAAAATAGGAAGAAAGTCAATGTTAGGAAACAGCGATTCATGAAAGTATTTCTTCATAAACAACATTTTTGGTAATATTTGTACTTGTTAGTGGTAAGTATGGTGGCCTAATGAGAATTTTAATATTATTAGCTGTTGTTGCTCTTGATGGAGCAACATATAATTGGCCATGAGAGAAGATTGGTTCTTTTAAGTATAATCCAACATAGTCAAGTGTCTGTCCTTGAGCTTTGTTGATTGTCATGGCGAAGTATAATCAGAGCAAAAATTGAGTTTTTTTAAATGGGACAGAAGCAAACTAATCATCTGAGACTTGTAGAGGAATTCTGGGAACGAAAACCATTTTGCCTGCAAAAGAACCGAATGCTATTTCTACTCGAATTACATTATTGGTGAACTGCTTGCAAATCAAACATGTTCATTAGATAAGCCTTCAGTGAGATTAATATTTCACAAGAGCATGACTGGGGCATTTTCCTTCAATATGAGTTCATGCAAGGGTAGTCTGTGACAGCCCCACCTTCCCCTAAGGCGAACCAGAGGGGTTAGCGGACTGCCTGCCCAGCTCTCGCCAGGACTAACGGTACAGTTTACGTCAATCTATAACGTTCCGAACATTGCAATGCCCGCAAATAAGCCAAAATCACAAAATAAAAAAAACGAAAGTCGTGGCACTCCGAAATCCAACCAAACATCATCCAAACATATATATACATTGGAAATCAGCATTTACAAGCCAAATGGCGTACAAGTTATCTCATAAGATCATACAAGTGCATTTAGGCCAATACAAGCCATCCATTAAGGGAAACCATACACTTAGGGTTAACACCCTCAAGGAGCTAATCAAAATACATGTACAAGAGCTCAACTTGCATTCAACTATCATGACCTTTCCAAAAGTGCTCATTTGCCTGTAAGGAAAACAAATAACACGGAATGAGCTAAAGCCCAGTGGTATACCACCCAATAAGCGATCAAAGTCACATAAGCATGAACTTTCATTTGAAGTACGCAAATAAGCGATAAAGCAAAACGGTAAAAGGATACGGTTGGCTCTCAAGAGCCCAATTCCACGCTTGTAATCTTGATCCAACCCCATTGACCCTCCGTCAATGTTAAAAGTACCAAACCGTAGACCACACTTTACTTCCATTCCTTCCACCTATCATACCCCAACCGGGCCCGCACTCCATTCAGTAATATTTTGGTAATACTCGAGTTTACCGGAACCAAGGGTCTCATTACCACAAGGTTCCCCAGTACAGTCCCCGTGGCAATTCAATCTTAACGACCAAGCCCTTGCCGGCTCGATCCAATTGACTACCAAACGGGGTTGAGCTCCGTAATGCAATAAGGCCGTTGGACATCATCCAAACGACATCAATTCAGTTTCCATGAAATGGAATTCATCAACCAATATATCAAGTTCAGTAATGCAATAAAACGGTAGCCATTCAGTGACAATATCAAAAGAGGTGAGGGCGGTCAAGTACACCCTCACCTTAATCAATTCCAATATGCAAGTAAGCCTTCAAGGCATCACATAAACATTTAACAAAGCCACATAGTAACAATTTAGTGAGTGGTATACTCACCAAGCAAGTAAGTGGTATTTCATGTACCACGATCACCAAGCCGTCGTGCACTACCTTCAAGCCCTAGAACATATAACACATACAATGAGACTCGATAACGAGTCATATAGCAACGCTAAACACAACCCCAGTAGGGTTTCATATACATAAAGGAGCATAATAGCAAACCAGAATTTAGAAAATGGCCTTAGTCTTGGCCCCAAATAGAAAACTGTTTTACACTCATTATGCGGTAATGGTACAACTCTCACTACAAATATCGGTTGGGGGTGTAAGACCCACCGTTTCGAAGCTATGGAACAGGGCTACAATAATGTAGAAGACCACTCAATCCAGTTCCTAGCTTAACTAGGTCGAAAATGCCAAATACTATACCAGAATTACCAAAACAGGTTTACAAAACACAGAAAACTGTAATCGGTATATCTCAGTCCATACAAGTCAAAATTCCGAAATTCCAAAGGCATATGTTAGCTAAGACCCTCAGCTACAATTCATCAGAAGACACCAAATCCAAAATCCATACCAATTCCAGTCAAAATGGCCAATTACTATCGCAGTTTTCGCATTCTGTCCAAATCAGAACAGCTACAGTAATTTCATCATATCTCATTCCACATTAATCCAAATGACCTGAAATTTTACAGGCATCTACATCACATCAATACCAACAACTTTCATGTTTTGAGCAAAGTCTAATTCGGCCTCTAACCCAGTGATCTAAAACCGGACAGATTTGGGGTTCAAGAACCCTAACTTTTCCAATTTCACACCAAATCCAAAATTGATTGCATTTAACCACATTTCACATCCACTAGAGCCATTTCCAACCATTACAATTCATCATACAAGCCCCCAACATCAAGATCATATTAAACCAGAAAAATTCCCAATAAAATAAAAACTTCACCAAAACAAACCAAATCAAGAAACAAATCATATATTTCAACTCTCATGCCTCCATTAAGCACTAATTAAGCATCATTAGAGGTAGTAGGGTGTTTCAAGCTTCACTTACCAAGAAACAAGAGAGAGAGGGATATTGGACACCTTTGATCTTCAAACAAACCTCACCAATACACTTATTAACACTAGAAGCAAAGTTCCTATGGAGTGAAATGGATGGAAACAATTGATTTTGGTTGATTTGCACCAAGTGGAAGCTTAAAATTTGAAGAGCTTTCTTCCTTGTGGAGCTTGGGATGGCCGGCCAAGAGGGAAGAGAGAAGAGTGAGTTTTTTGTAATTTTTTGAGATATTTAACCTTTGGTCAAGAAAG